TTCTTGTTCATATCAATTGGACAAAGGTTGTGAATGTAATTAAAAAGTTCAAGTTGAGAACTTTATAAGTTCGAGTTAAGAGTTTTAATAGGTGCAATACTGTTCACGTAGATGATAGTGGTCCACGTCTGGAGATTTAGTTTTCGATTTCTTTTTACGATCGCATTGATCCCTGATATTTGCCCTATCATACGGTGCATGTTGACTAGAATGTGGCTGCCATGACCAAACGGAATCACCGATCGCAATAACTATTGCTGCAGCATAATGATACTTTTTCCCAATGGCCTCGGATTGTTCGATCACAATGGCTTGCTAGTGGACGACACTGGTGGTCCTCGATGTTATGCGGTGAGCTCCGCCAAGATTCGGCTTGTGTGTGAATCTAAGGACATCGAATCGCTATCGTTCTCAGTAGTAACTTGGAAGACAGAAGCCTCAATTGGACATCAAATTTGGGGTAGAAAATCACATATTTTTTGATGTGTAGCATTTTCAGTGGCATCTTGTGATCGGAAAACCTGACCTTCATTATTGTGAAGACACAGAGATAGACAGTCTGATAAAGCCAGCGCATGATTATGTTAATTTTACGGACTTTAACATGATACATAAATTGTTTATGCCCTGGTTTTAGGAGGGGAATATCCTGCTTGTCGTACAGCTCATCAAACAATCGATATTTTCAGCATTTGTATTAACAGCCGACTTGGCGATATGAAAACAGTCGCAATACCGATACTACGCCGCTAATACATATGTGTCAGCTACAAGAACGACATTCAGTCGTTCTTGGATCAATTTAAACCCAAAATCTACTAAGCCTTTTAAAAACTAAATATCTAACTTAACGAAAATATCAGAGCATCTTGGGCTTTATAGGAAGCTTCCTTCCTTCATCAGACAACTCTAAGTTTCGAAACATAATAAAATTTTTTCATGAATTCCTATTTGTTTTGCTGCCTTAAGTCCAATGTTTATAAGAACTCTTTTTTTTTGGGGGGGGGGTACTGCTTGAGAGCTCAATGAGAGTTGAGGGGAAAACACACACATGCACAAAACTACACTTGCAAAAATTTGTTAAATAAAAAAAAAAAATAATAAAAGCTACAGCTACAACAACGACATCAAGTAGTGGCAAGTAGTTTAGCTAGTTTTTTTTCATCTGTTTGATATTATTTGATGATTACTGCTGAATGGGGTTTTGAATTGGTGTGAGGTTGTTTTGTTATGTTTTTTTTCTCTGCCGTCATTAACTACAATACTACACAGATACTACAGCGTACACATACACACAAACCTTCATATACTTTTTTAGTTTTCTTGATTATACTACTCTCTATTGTTTATATATCTCTTTTACACTTGAAGCAAACATATAAGTCGGACTCTTTCGTTTTCGTGTAAAAAAAAAACACTCAGCAAAAAATATACACAAAACAAAGTAGTTTTTCAACTTTATCTCCGGGAAAAAACGAGTAAATGTGTGAGCTAGCGATTGATTGAATAAACGAAGAGAGAGGGTTTTATTTTGTAGGATGCGTGCACTGTTAACAATATGACATTTTTCCTGTCAAATCTGATGTTTTTTTTTTAACTGGAAATGAAATTCGTTTAGGCGGTTAACGAAAATTTTTTTGGTTTTTAACCTATTTGGGCACTAATCTACAGTCAAGTTCTATTCTGAAGTCTAATGTAAAGTATAGTCCATAGTCTAGTCTAAAGACTTGTCCATAATCTAGTCCTTAGTTTAGTTTACATCTAATCTATAGCTTATTCCATAGTCTAGTCTATAGTCTTGTATATAGCCTAGTATAGTCTATAAACTAGTCTATAGTAGGCCTTAGTGCACAGACTATTTTATAGTCCAGAAAATAATATATAATCTAATCTATAACCTACTTTATGGTCAAGTTTATAGTATAACCTATAGTGTGGTCTATAGTATGCTCTAGTCAATAGACTATATTATCGTCTTGCCTATAGTCTAGAATATAGTATAATCTACAGCCTAGTCAATAGTTTAGTCTATAGTCTAGTCTATAGTATGCTTTAGCACAAACTATATTATATTCTAGTCTATAGTCCAGAATATAGTATTATCTATATTCTAGTCTATTTTCTAGTCTAGTCTGTAGTCTAGTATTGTCTGTAGTCTAGTCTAGCCTGTAGTCTAGTCTATTGTCTAATCTATAATCTAGTATAGTCTATAATCTAGTATAGTCTATAATCAAGTCTATAGTATGCCCTAGTGCATAGACTATTTTATAGTCTAGTCTATAGTCTAGTCTATAGTCTAGTCTATAGTTAAGTCTAGTCTATAGTCTAGTCTATAGTCTAGTCTATAGTCTAGTCTATAGTCTAGTCTAGTCTATAGTCTATAGTCTAGTCTATAGTCTAGTCTAGTCTATAGTCTAGTCTATAGTATAGTCTAGTCTATAGTATAGTCTAGTCTATAGTATAGTCTAGTCCTATAGTCTAGTCTAGTCTATAGTCTAGTCTAGTCTAGTCTATAGTCTAGTCTAGTCTATAGTCTAGTCTATAGTCTAGTCTATAGTCTAGTCTAGTCTATAGTCTAGTCTATAGTCTAGTCTATAGTCTAGTCCTATAGTCTAGTCTATAGTCTAGTCTATAGTCTAGTCTATAGTCTAGTCTATAGTCTAGTCTATAGTCTAGTCTATAGTCTAGTCTATAGTCTAGTCTATAGTCTAGTCTATAGTCTAGTCTATAGTCTAGTCTATAGTCCTAGTCTATAGTCTAGTCTATAGTCTAGTCTATAGTCTAGTCTAGTCTATAGTCTAGTCTATAGTCTAGTCTAGTCTATAGTCTAGTCTAGTCTAGTCTATAGTCTATAGTCTATTCTAGTCTATAGTCTAGTCTATAGTCTATAGTCTATAGTAGTCTAGTCTATAGTCTAGTCTATAGTCTAGTCTAGTCTATAGTCTAGTCTAGTCTATAGTCTAGTCTAGTCTAGTCTATAGTCTAGTCTATAGTCTAGTTTATAATCTAGTCTATAGTCTAGTCTATATTCTAGTCTATAGTATAGTCTAATCTATAGCCTAGTGTGTAGTCTAGCCTATAGTCGAGTCTATAGTCTAGTCCATAGTCTAGTCTTCATAGACTAGCTATTTTCTAGTCTATTGTCTAAGATATAGTCTAGTGTGTAGTCTAGTCTATAGTCTAGTCTATAGTCTAGTGTGTAGTCTAGTCTATAGTCAGGTCTAGTCTAGTCTTTAGTCCAGTCTATAGTCTAGTCTATTTTCTAGTCTATTGTCTAAGATACAGTCTAGTCCATAGTCTATAGCCTTGTCTATAGTCTAGTCCATAGTCTATAGCCTTGTCTATAGTCTAGTCCATAGTCTATAGCCTTGTCTATAGTCTAGTCTATAGTCTAGTCTATAGTCTAGTCTATAGTCTAGTCTATAGTCTATAGTGTAGTCTATAGTCTAGTCTATAGTCTAGTCTATAGTCTATAGTCTAGTCTATAGTCTAGTCTATAGTCTAGTCTATAGTCTAGTCTATAGTCTAGTCTATAGTCTAGTCTATAGTCTAGTCTATAGTCTAGTCTATAGTCTAGTCTATAGTCTAGTCTAGTCTAGTCTATAGTCTAGTCTATAGTCTAGTCTATAGTCTAGTCTATAGTCTAGTCTATAGTCTAGTCTATAGTCTAGTCTAGTCTATAGTCTAGTCTATAGTCTAGTCTATAGTCTAGTCTATAGTCTAGTCTATAGTCTAGTCTATAGTCTAGTCTATAGTCTAATCTATAGTCTAGTGTATAGTCTAGTCTTTAGTCTATAACCTAGTCTATAGTCTTGCCTATAGTCTAGTCTACTGTTTAGTCTTTAGTGTATTTTCCAGTTTATAGTTTAGCCTATAACCAAGTCTATATTCTAGTCTATAGCCTATTGACTAGTCAATAGGCAAGTCTATAGTCTAGTCTAAAATCTTGTCTTGGTATTAAATAAATTATAAATTTTCCAAGTTTTTGAAGAAACCTGATTCTGATGACTTCCAGCGGTGTTGGTACATGATTTGACAAGAAATGGTGAACAAAAATTAGCAACACTGGCGGCTTTTTAAGAGTGTATGTGTGTATCTGTGAGTTGTTTGTTTTAATGCAGTAAATGTTGTATTTTTGTTTTATTTATGTGTTTTGAATTTTATTGCTTTTGTTGTTGTTTCGCCCTGTGTTTATATAGGGAAATCATTTAATATTCCCGGTTTGTCGTTGTTGTTGTAGCTGATGTTATTTGTACCCTCTTTTAATAAGTGCTATACTATTATGGGGGAGCTGTCACTGTATGTTGTTGCTTTGGTATTTTAATAATTCTCTTTTTTACATTATTAATAATGTTGGTTGATATCTTTGGTAGGGTTTTTTTTCTTGTACACAATTTTCTTTGTATAATACTAATAAAATATTTTATATTTTTGTAGCTTTTGCTTTATTCATCATCGACAACACCACCACCACCAACCATGTTGTATACACCTTTATTTTGCCATTTTACATACAATTTTTACACTCATGTTTGTCTGAATATGTTCATAAATGAATTTGTGTGGCTTTTCTGTTGTAGTTTAACTCTTGGTAAAACTACAAAGCGTTAAAGTGGTATTTGTTGTAGCTTTGCTAGATACATATTTAAGTATCTGTGTGTGTGTTTGTGTTTGCGTGTGTATTTTGTATCTGAATATGGGTTTCACATGAATTGTTTGTTTTCTTGATTGTGCCATTTTTTTTGATTCTTTATTCGTGCTGTGTTGTTGGTCGTTGTTGGACGTTTTTTCGTTTGCAAAGCAAGAATATTTCAAATTTTTTCTTGTTTTTTTCTTTCTTTTATTTTTTTAAGTGTTTGATTTAATTGTTGTTTAGCACTTAACACGTTTGGTTGTTAATTTCTGGGTCTTTGGTTTTTTCCACTGTCCACATTTAGAAAACACTACTTTTTCGGTTTTTTTCTTAGATTATTTGTTAAAAACTCAATTTTTTTAAATACTTACTTTTTATTTAAAACACTTGATTTTTTTAAAATTTATAACTGTTTTATTACTTCGAGCATTTGTAAGGCGACATTTTTAAAAATATTACTTGTTTGTTCTGCATACCGACCGTAATTTCAACACTTTTTTAAGAGATCGATCGTTATGAGACGCGCCCGATTTTTTCGATTTGGAAAAGTTTTTACTTTATTCTGTTGTGGTTTTGATGGGAGTTAATATTATTCCTTTTTCTGTGGTAGTTTTAAAGCTGGAAATAAAAAATAAATAAATATTTGAATAAAATTTATTTTTTGAATAATTTTGAATTTTCATTAAAATTTTGTAGGTGTTTGTATAAAAATTTGTTTAAAATTATTTTTTTTTTTGAACATTAGATATTTTAGTTAAAATTTTAACTTTAAAACGAAACTTTTAATTTTCGACCATCTTTTCATTTTTTTGAAATTTTTTTTTAAATATTTTTGTTATAAATTTTAATAGGTATTTATTTAAAATTTTAATTTGATTTAAAAATTAATTTTCTGTAACAATTTAAATTTGTTCGTAAAATTCAAATTTTTAATGTTTACTTTTTTGAAGTTAAAAAAAATAATTTGAATTTAAAAAAAAATATTTAACTTTTTAGAAAAATTTTGAATTTCTAAGAAATTTTCGGATTTTTTAGAAAATTTAATTTTTAGGAAAATTTTGAATTTTTAGAAAATTAGAAATTTTACAGCCCCTTTGGCAACTTTTTCGAACCCTTCGCCCTTTTCCGCCCTTTTTCATTTTCCGCCCCCTTTGCCTTTTTCCGCCCCCTTTGCCTCTTTCCGCCCTTTTGCCTTTTTCCCCCCTTTTGCCTTTTTCGCCCCCTCTTGCCTTGCGGCCCCTTTTGCCTTTTTCCCCCCCTTGCCTTTTTCCCTCTTTTTTCTTGCCCTCCCCTTTGCTTTTGTCGCCTTTTACCTTTTTTTTCCCCGTTTGCCTTTCTTTCCCCTTTTTCTTTTCCTTCCCTCTTTAGCCTTTTCCGCCCCCTCTTGCCCCTTTCCCCTTTTCTTTCTTTTTCCCTGCCTCTTGTCTACTTTCCTCGCCGCTCGCCTTGCCTCTCCTCTCCCTTCGCCTCTCCTCTCCTTAGCCTCTCGTCTAGACTAGACTAGACTAAAACTATTCTATTAAATTAGGCTCTAGACTAAACTATAGACTAGACTATAGACTAGAGTATGGACTAGACTATAGACTAGACTATATGAGACTAACTAAACTATATGTGACTATAGAATAGATGATATTATATACTAGACTGTAGCCTATACTATACCCTAAACTATACTATAGACTAGACTATAGACTACAGTAAAGACAAGAATATAGACAAGACTATAGACTAAACTATGGACTTGACTATAGACTAGAATATAGACTAGACTATAGACTGAATATGACAGACATAGACCTAGAATATAGACTAGACAATGAGACTAGAATATAGACTAGACTATAGACTAGAATATAGACTAGACTATAGACTAGACTATAGACTAGACTATAGACTAGACTAGACTTAGACTAGACTATAGACTAGACTATAGACTAGACTATAGACTAGACTATAGACTAGACTATAGACTAGACTATAGGCTAGACTATAGGCTAGACTATAGGCTGGACTATAGACTAGACTATAGACTGGACTATAGACTAGACTATAGACTAGACTATAGACTAGACTATAGACTAGACTATAGACTAGACTATAGACTAGACTATAGACTAGACTATAGACTAGACTATAGACTAGACTATAGACTAGACTATAGACTAGACTATAGACTAGACTATAGACTAGACTATAGACTAGACTATAGACTAGACTATAGACTAGACTATATACTAGACTATGGACTAGACTATAGACTAGACTATTCTATAAATTAGGCTATTAGGCTAGACTAGACTATAGACTAGACTATGGACTACAGTAAAGACTAGAATATAGACAAGACTGTAGACTAAACTATGGACTTGACTATAGACTAGAATATAGACTAGACTATAGACTAGACTATAGACTAGACTATAGACTAGACTATAGGCTAGACTATAGACAAGACTATAGACTAGACTATAGACTAGACTATAGACAAGACTATAGACAAGACTATAGACTAGACTTTAGACTAGACTAGACTATAGACTAGACTATAGACTAGACTATAGATTAGACTATAGATTAGACTATAGATTAGACTATAGACTAGACTATAGACTAGACTATAGACTAGACTATAGACTAGACTAAAGACTAGACTATAGACTAGACTATAGACTAGACTATAGACTAGACTATAGACTACACTATAGATAAGACTATAGACTAACTTTAGACTAGACTATAGACTAGACTATAGACAAGACTATAGATTAGACTATAGACTAGACTATAGATTAGACTATAGACTAGACTATAGATTAGACTATAGACTAGACTATAGATTAGACTATAGACTAGACTATAGACTA